CTCAGAGTCATGCCCTGATTCAATACAGCTTGAGTTTCTCAGCACTCCAGCACCCCAGGCTCCCCCGGTTTTGAATCACTGATGGTGGCCAAAAGCTTCATTCAGTGTGCTGGACAGTCCTCCAGGCTCTTGACTCCACGGTGAAAGTTCATAAAGAAGGTTTTGGAAAAGCTCAGTTTCACGCTGAGGCAAGCAATGTTTTCGTACAAGTGGTGACAAGTAGAGAGTCCCATTCAATTATCTATTGTATGGGATTAGGTTACCCACACAGAAGATAAGAAAAAAATTGGCTCTGCTGTAGGGCCTGGCATCAGATTCTTGCTGAAGCCAAATTTGTCCATGTTTCTCATCTCTTGGGTATTGTGAGTGCATGTAATACTCTCTTCTTCAGCAGTTGTGGTTGAGTTGCCAGCTGCTGAAGGAGAAAGGAAAATCTTATTCCTGAGTAGGTTTAGGAAGGAGTCTGAGGTCTAACATCACACTGGAGAAGAGCTCAGGTCTGCTGTTGTCCTTGCACCTGTGCCTAGAACCAGCATTTTAAGAGAAGTCACTCTGATGTTGGAAATAAGTGGAGAAGAAGCGAGATGTGAGAAAGAAAGGCATAATTGAGGGCTTGTTCTGCTTCCTGCAGAAATACAGTAATTGCTGACTTTAAGATGAAGTTCCTCACACCTAGAAGAGGTACTTTCTAGCTCTCCAGAATCTGTCCCTAGAGGTCGAGTGCTCACTCACCTCTGTGTCTCTGCACTGTTGCTGCATAGATTGCATTAGGATGATCCCAGAAAAGACTGAAGAAAACTGCCTCCCCCTTCCACTTGCTTTGAACTGAGTCACTCTTCTCAGTCTATCATGTCTCTAGATATGCTACAAGGTAAAGTGACTTCAAGGAGCAAGACCTTTCCATGCTCTGTAGCACAGCCATTGTCCAGGCACCAGTTCCCTACGAGAGCAGAATTAGGACTAGTGTTCAGGGCTGAGAGACTTCCTCACTGGGGAAACAACCTGGATGTCTTTCAGAAGCATTTCTGTAATGTGTTCACAATGTCTGAGGAAGGGAAAGGAATTGCAAAGGATCCTGGTGGGAGACCGTGGGGCAGGTGTTTCCATAATGATCGGCCCCACCAGCTAAATCTTTCCTTTTCTTTAGGAAAGATCACACTTTGAGCTGGGTTGCATGGGAGAAGCTTGTGTCAGGAGTTTCCATGAGGGGAAAGGAGATCTGTTGTACAGTAGATGATGTACATGATATATGCAGTTTTGTTTCTAGGTTGGTTGTTTTGGGTTTTGTTTGTCTGTTTGTTTGGGGGTAAAATGATTTAAAAAAAAAAAAAAGGTTTTAGGAATCTCTAAGGGGAACCTGTAAATCTGACACCTCTATTTATTTTGCCTTATTTTAGTTTGCTATGTTTGTATGTATACACTGCATTACAGCAAAGACTATTGAGACTGTGCCAGGGCATTACACCAGCTGGAGAGCTGGCTTGGCTGCTGTGCCAGCTGAGCCAGGCCAGGGGATGCAGGTGAGCAGGTGAGATGAGGTGTGGGAAGGGAGGTAAGAAAAAAAAAACTTTTGGCTTTTTTCATAATTACTTTGCCCCTGGTGATCTTGGTTCTGGGAAAGCACTTATTTTAAAGCTTGTGGTGAACTGATGGAGGCTGGTTATTTTAAAACACTTTCTGCAAAAGATGTTTGTTTTTATCATGTGTAACAGTGAGAAGATTGAGAAGAGTTAAGGTGCACAGTTGCTCGCTCAAACTTCACCCTTCCACACAAATTCAGTCCATAATTGCAGAGAATCTTGGCTAGGTGGCCAAGATTCATGGTTCATGCCCTGTAACTTCTCACCAGATTTAACACACTAATGAGACCAACTGGGACAGGTCTCCTTCCTCTGAGCTAATATTTTTCCCTATCTTCATGACCAAAGAAAGATTTCATCTGCTTTACCTCTTTCTTCCTCCAGCCCACCTCCCCAGGTTGCCCTAGGTCAGCAAAATCTTTCTACTGGTTGGTTTGTTACCCATGGATAACACACACAAGGTGTTTGGCCATGGCTCCTTGGCTTCTTTACTTGACACAGGAGATTTCCTGCCATCCAAAGAGGTAGTCTCCATTGGCCACCCTAGTTTCTACCACAACTCATGTAGGGCTTGGTCCTTTCAGCCTCCCCCACTAGGACCTCTGAGCCAAGTGATCTAGAAAAGCCTCTCTGCCAATCCATTTGCTCACTTCCTGCTCACCTTCAAACAGGCTCTTTAAAGCCCTTTGCAGTTTTTAGAATTGTGAGGAAATGTTCAGTACCTGAGCCACTTTATGCTCAATGCCTCCCTTCCAAGTCATCCCCACCTGCAGCTGTTCTGCTCCCCTGCAAACCTGCTCAGCTTGAAACTTGCAGGTCACTTTGGGAGGTGGCCCTGCCTGCCAAGCTAGAAAGTACAGTGCTGCTTACTGAAGTGGGAGGTTGTGTGCTGCTGTAATGCCTTGGCCTATCCTCATTTCTTAGTCAGTTTAAGACTATAAGTGAATTAAATGTACAAATCCTGTAGTGTCCTTTTTATCTGTATCTTTTTATAAGAATATACTGTAATACTAAAAAACAAAAGCAAAAAAAATTAAAGATATATTGCCCCCACTGTGTCTCTCTACATTTCTTTGTAGTTTCATTTTCTGTGCATTTTGCCACAAAGTCTGATAGACGAATGGGGTCTGGGTGTACTTTTTGTTAAGCTCTGGGTTTTTGGTCAAGAGTGTGCAGCTCTTTAGGTGACACTGTCACTACAGAGCTGGTGAGAAACTCCACAGGCTGTTCTGGGGGAACAAGCAACACTGTGGAACACAAGCACATCCTCCCCACGCTGTGCAATGGTGAAGAGCTGATCAGGGAGCCAGCAGGTTACCATATCCAAGGGTCCTCTTTAAAAGCTCTCACTCGTTCCTCCTTCAGAACTACATACGGTACACAGGAGTTCACTTAAAGAAAACGATAAAAGTAAGACAGTCCTGATATCTAGGAGTTCATAATCCATGGCTGGACATGACTATTCCAAACAAGGAAGGGAGTGCAGGGCAGCAGCACTGGCCCTGAGCTCACTTGCATAACTGAGCAACATCCCGACAGCAAGAGCGTCGACTTGGAGGAAGAGTGGGCAGGAGAGCATTGCTGCCAAGGAAGGAGTTAAATAAGGCCAGCTGAAAAGAAAGCAGGAAAGCTTTCATGAGTGAAGACTTCAGAAAAGCAGGAGTCTGAAGAGAAGTTAGACACAGAACAGCAGGGTGAGCAAGATGCACACAGGGTTAGGGCTAATTTGTGGCTGAATTGAAGGGTATGCTGAGGAATTCTTTGGCACTCAGGGGCAGAACCTTGTCCTCATCATAGAGGCAATGAGTACAGCTGTTTCATTCATACACAGATCTCCCCATTTCTGTTAATGGAAAGAGCCCACTGACTCTTAAAATTATCCTTAAGCCACAACATTTCATTCTTCTCTTCAACCCATCAAAGGGCAATGCTTTAACCTTGAGCTCCTGAGAAGATCGTGCCTAGCTTCCAGTGAGAGCCTCGCTGGCTATGCAGCACATTCCTGCAGCACTAAAGTTCCCAGGGACCCCAGACAAAGCCCTAGCTGTTGGCTCTGGCTCTCAGGTGGGAAGAATTGTGGAAATGAGCAAAAGTAATCAGGGCATAATTGCTTGCGTGGGCTGAAGATCAAGAGGCAGCAAATGGGAGTCTTAGTGCTCTGTGGGAAGGTTCTTGGCTTTTAGTTGTTAGAAAGGCTTTCAGTTTCTCTGTTTTAATCTATTTGGTTCACACTTTGCTAAAATTTTGACTTTTAGGTTCTTGCTGAAGAGATTCAAAGGCAGAAGTAAAGGGATGTTTCTGAAACATCTGCATTGTGTGAGTGGTAGAGGCAGGATGAAAATGTTGGGACCTTCCTGAGTTCTCTACCCTGGCAGCTGGGATTTGGTACAGGAAGTCAAACCATTGCTTTTCCTCTTATTAGAGGTGAAACACAGTGGCATTTGAATTATCTGCTTTGAACAAGACAGATATCCTGCCTGGATTGTCAGAAGACTTTTCTTTAATATTTTATTTGGGGTTGGAGCACACAGTGAGGAGCTGTTGTTCTGCCCTGAAGCATGGGTATCACAGAAGCCTCCTTCTCTCTTCCTTGATGCTTTTCCCATGATCATGGACCTCCCTATCCTTGTCATCACTGCATAGAGCAAGGTAAGTGCCTCATGGCTTTTTCTGAGCAAAACTAGGGTTGGGGTTTAGCTGCCCTGAGTGACTGGGAGTGAAGATGAGTGTAAGGGGAGCTCTCTGCTCTTGCTGGGAAGGGCTGAGTTGATCATTTATCAGGTTTCTCTTTCTTTGACTTTTATCTCTGCCGTAGTGGACATGGAGCTTTCTGGGAGAAATCTGCTTGGCCCTAGATTTGTACCACTAGGAAATAAAATAATTAAAGTTTGGGGTTTTTTTTCTCTTCCTCTCAAAGCCTAAAAGTTTTGGTTTTCAACAGTGTTGTGATAGATTTTGTTTGTTTGATGTTCCTGTAGTTAATGGGCTTCTTGCTGTTTTCTCTGAGGCATAGTTGCTATTTATCTCTACTTTGCTTAGACTCACCAGGAGGTAAGGTTCTTTTTTCCCTTTTTGTCTTTTCCCCCCCCTCTTTTGCTGTTTTTTCATCTCTTTTGCCTTTTTTTCCCACCCTTTTGCCTTTTTTTGCCATTTTTCCCCTAATTCTCCCCACCCCAGACTCAGCAGTGAGGTGGAAGCTTGCCTTGAGTGAGCTGCTGCATCTTTCCTACCATGTGACAGCATTGAACCCCAGGGGTCCAGAAGGATCTGAAATGCTGTGAATAGTTTAACATGGGAATCCAGGAATTGTTCTTTGTCTATCTTGTTTTAGATGTGGGGCACAATTGTGTTGAGTGCTTATGGAAGGAGAACACGTCTCTAATTACATTAATTAAAGAAAAGAATCAAAAAATGGGAGGGGGAAGATTAGCTCAGTTGGTCAGAGTATGATGCTAAAAACACCAAGACTGTGGGTTCAATCCCTGTGCGGACCATTCGCATAGGAGTTAGACTTAATGATTCTTGTGGGTGCCTTCCAACTCAGGATACTCTGTGATTCTATGATCTGGGAAAAGACTCATAATTTATGGCTGTGAGATGTGGAAAAAGGCTTTTGTTTGCTGGAAGTGTCTATGCCCAGTAGTGGTTGGGTCTGTTGTGTTGTAGCAAGAGCCTTGCCATACTCTCCCTTCATGGAAGAGCTATTCAGAGCACTTCCAGCAAGGACTGGGGCAGCTGATAATCAAGGAAAGCACAACAGTCATGCAGAGGCTGCAGGGACCCAGGGATCAGGGCTGACATCAGCCCTGGACACCCTTTCCTTTGGGGCAGACAGGGGAGTGAGTGTGCTGGGCACTGTGTGAATTTGCTGCCTGCCCCTGCAGAGATGAGGGAGGAGGACTCCTGCATCTCCATGTTCCTTGCAGAGGTTTTAAAAGATTGGTAGAGGGGAGAACTGTGATTGTCTCAAGAAATCTGACAAATACTCGTTATTTGTATCTTTGTAAGTAAAGACTTTCCCTTACCAGTAGATCTGCAGGGACAAAGCTCATGTTTTATCATCCTCTAAAATATCAAAAGTGTTGTAAGAATTGGCCTGGATGCCTCATGAGAGACTACCAAGAACTTGCCTGTGGTGAAGCCATAGTTCATGCTCTGATTATCAAACTCTGCCACTGTTTTGCCAGTGATGGTTCCTGGAAATCCAGTGTTCTGTAAAGGTATCAGAGGGTGCTTTGTGCACAGGGGCTGAGGAGTGAAAACAAGCTATCAAAAGCTTTTGCATGCTCCATTGCCCACAGAAGGAAGCAAACAAAACAGGACAAAAATGAATGTCCATCTACTTTAGGCTTAAGCTATTTTTCATTTGGTTGTGGCAATACTGTAAAAGAACAAAGATGGATTCCTGCCCTCAGCCCTCAAGCAGGTTGGAAGGTCGCTGGATTTGAGAGGTAAAAAATGGTGTTCGGCAGCATGTCATTGGATATTCCTGTGATCAGGCTCTGCCTGGCTAAGTGCTGTCTGGGTGTGACAGCCTTTGGGGGTGATGGTGACTGTCAGTCCCTGCATAGTCACGAGGTGTTTTCAGGGGCAGAAGCACGAATCAGCCCAGTCCTCCCCTACCCCGGGCTCACAGTAAAGTGTTATGAGTGGGCAAGGGTTTCCTTGGGTAACACACACTATGTTCGTGCTCCTGAACAAGTCTGGATCTCCTCTTACTTTGTAGAAGAAGCTGAGTAACCCCAAAGTGCAGATTTTTCCTAGGGTTGTCTAATCCAGTATTTTCTTTCCTTTTGGGCTCCCAAGCAGAAAATAACTCTTCAGAGCCATGCCCCATTCTGCTGCAAAGTACCCCTTGCTTCTGCTCCTGATTTTCTTGTATATCTGAGTCCTGTTCACGTCCCTCTTGTGCCCTCACAATTCCTTTCTGTTGCCATGACCCTTTGCTTGCCCACTTGGGAGGATCTGCTGTCCTTTGTGGTATTAATAGCTGCAGGAGCTTGGGCACCTCAGGCTCCAGGTGAAGCCCCTGGCAGAGGACTGACCCCGGCACAAGCACTGTTTTCTGCATTCAGCTTGGCTTTGCATGGGGCAGGTGTTGCCAGGCAGATTGGGCGCTGTGTCCTACCTTCCCATTGCCCTCCTTGTGGTGCAGCTGTTGTTCATTCAGGGACCAAATGTTCAAGATGTTGTGCTGCCCTTTTGGAATGGCAGTAACATCTTCTCTTGCTCTGGTCCCTGAAATGAGAGCTTCTCTGTAAGTGGAGGCCCTTTCTGCAGCTGGAGAGCTGGAGCTGCCTCTGGAGTCAGTGATGAGCAGCATTTCACCGCAGAAGCATCTCCAGAACAGAGGCAATGTAACATCGGGACCAGAGCTAGCTGTGGCCTTGGGGGTGCTGATCTTGTGCCAGTTCCTGGGGTCTCAGTGCTGGGATGCATCAGCAAGCATGTCTTGGGCTTGTGTCAGGGTCAAAGCAAGAGATTGCAAATTGCAACTTGTCCCATAGCCGTGGTCTTGTACTTCTCAGGCAGCTGCCAGCTCTCTGTCTGTTCCTGATTAATCCTCTCCCTGGGGGATGCTGACCAGTACATCCCAAATCAAAATGGAAGGAAGAAAGGGGATAAATCAGATACTGAGGCAATCTTACTCTCTAATTTTTAACCCATGCTGGCGCCCTAATACAAACAGGAAGGCAGCAGGAGTTTGGACAGGGATCAGTGGACCTAACTTAGTGCTGTGCAAAGCAGAATCAGTATAATTATGGGAAAATGGACATAGTCACAGAAATAGCTGAGCTTTGTAGAGAGGCAGGCTCTTTCCTGAGATCTTCTCTGGTGGCTAGATCGCTTCTCTTCTTACTCCTCCTCACCCTTTCCCTCAGCTCTGCAATGAACCCTGAAAGTCTGCACCTCTCACTCTCATTAGAACAGGGTCGGGCTGTCACCAATACATGGGAAGGTTTTCCCTTGAGAGGCACCAAGGTGAAATCTTCCTCTGATATTTAGGAGAAATCAAGGGACAAAAGCCCATCTGCTAAAAACAGACTTGTCAGTCTAGTAGCCAACATAATTTTCTCCAATTGCACAGCAGGTACGAGGAGCACTCAGGCTTGGAAATCTGTCTCCAGATACTCACTGCAGAGTGCACAAATCAATGGGAATGCCAGGTCAGTGTACCCATCTGCAAACAGTTATTTGAGTGACTTACCAAGCATGACATGTTGGTCTGGCCCACATATGTGTGGTCCGGTTCTCTCAGATCACAGTCTAGGCCAGTAGTGGTGGGACTGTCCTTTCTGCCTCAGTTGAAACAAGCTCAATCCAGGGACTGTCTCTTTGCTCATAGGTGAAGGAGCAGCAGCTCCTGCCTGTACTCAGGACAGGACATGGTCCCGAGGCCCTGGGAGAGCTGGCTGCCTGGAGGCAGCAGATGCACAGGCACCCTGACCACACTGTTATCATTTTTCCTGTTGTTCAGCCATTCCCATCAGCCATCATCCTTGTTTCTTTTCCTGTTCATTTAGGGTTTGGCTAAGACTTCTTTGCCACCTTTTCTTGTCTCACATTTGTGTGAACCTTCTGGTGCAGAGAAGCAAGGTCTGGGGCTGTACTTCCCTTCCCATGATCCTTGCAGAGCCACCTCTGCCATTGCTGGAGCTTTGCTTCCCTAGAGCCTCCAAGGTGATCCCAGCCCTGATGGGTGCAGGGGACTCCACCAGTGCCCAGCCTGTCCTTTGGAAAGCTTCAGCTGTGTGTGTGAGGAGACATTTTGTCTGAGGGATGAGGCTAAATGCAGGCAATGGTAAAGCCCCTGAGCAGCAGCTCTGGCACAGCTGCTCTGATGAGCTGATGTGCTCCTTTCTGAGCAGAGCCACTTGTGGATGTAGAGGCAGCCCCTGTGCTCATGTGGACAGGGGAACAGGTGCTGAGAGTGTGTCTGGGAGGGATTTCTTGCTGGTGCCATGTGAGGTTGGAGGAATACTTGGGTTTTCCCCTTCCCTTCTATAAATGGCTTTTGTGAGAACAGGTTTCTTAACTTAGGTTACAATAACGAGGGCTAATTGAGCTTTAGTGTGAGCAGGATGCTATCAGTGGCACATAAACTAGATGAAAATTGTTGGCTAGGTTAGGTAGGAGATGAGCCTCATGAATGCAGCCTTCCTCACAAATTCTGCTAAAGGACTTCTGGCCACACTCAAACCTGTGTCAGGCACATGGTGAGGTGTCTGCTGTCCTGCAGCAGGGTGGGGGCTTTGCAGAGCTGCTTGGGCAGGAAGGGCTATCACTGCTCTTAAACCCTGATCCCCTGAACTGGGAAGAAGTGGAACCCCTGCTGTTGAGTAAGGCACTTGGTCTGACTTCCCAGAGAGCTGCCTCCCTCTTGGCTGAGGACACAGGAGGCATTTTGCCAGGCTCTCCTGCTGCTCAGCGAGAGTGGGGGAGTGCGGGACATGGGGAACCTTGTTCCCGCTGCTGTGTTGGGAGCACAGGAGTGCTCACTTGCTTGCCCCCTACTCCATCCAGCTGGGTTTAATTTTAGAAACACAGTGCTATCTTGGGGCATCTTTTTCCATGGAATGCAAGTCTTTAAGTAAATAAATAACAGCTTTGTGGAGGTGGAATGACAGCCCGTAACCGCACTGCAAAACGCGCACCGAGCAAGTTGAGCCCCATTTCACTTGCATGTGGAAATACTTTGTACAGAAACAGTGGCTGCACCGCCTCCCTCTCTTCATTCAGCCCCCTCCAGAGCTGGCCATGTGCATTGATTAAAAAGAAATAAAAACACCTTGAAATACCAGCCTTGGAGAAGTGGAAATGAAAACCCCTCCAGCTGCTGGGGTTCAGCTGGAGTTCTCTGGCACAGATTTGCTAAAGCTACAGTTTACTGGTGATGGGCTGTTACTGACCATGCCTTGCTGCATCTGGGACATCCCAGAGGGATGTGCTCTGGGGCATCCTTAGCAACCCAGGAAAGAAATAGCAGGCTATAAAGATGAAGGCTAGAAACTTGTGTTTAAATGCCCCTCCCAGTCTGGTTGGCCAAGAGCCTTCTGCATGCAGTCCTGTTGCTGATGGCTGAATGTCCTGGGTGTGTCCCTCAAAGCATGTTTGCTGGCTGGAAAATCCCATTAAAACCATTTTACCAGAGCAAGAGCCCATTTTTATTGTTCAGATCCAGCAGCTCTGACATGGCATCTGCTGCATAAGCTGCTGGTAACTCTGTTCCCCTGAGTCAGCGAAGGAGACTCTTCCAAAGCTTCCAGTCTGAGCAAGACTTGCCACCGTGGCCTTCCTCTGATGTATGGACGTGGAGATGCACCTAAATATGCAAGGTGGAAAAAATGGTGTAAAAATAACCCAGGCTGACAGCTACTTGCTCTGCTCCCCTCCTGCTGCACTTTGCTGCTGCTGGGACAAGACAGTGCTGAGATGACAGGACTCTGCGCTTGTAAGGAAGCTGGGTCAGGAGCACCCATCTTGGGTGCATTAG